CCTCCAAACATCTGTTCGATTGAAGGGATGAGAAAACTGTCCAAAATGTCAATGTAAACTTGTGCATTGATAGAAGAATTAACCACAGTCATCTCACCAGTGCCTCTGCCTGACTTGCAGCCCCATATCATCAAGGACTGKGGAAATTTGGTTGTTTTCTTCAGGCAGTCCTCTTCATAAATCTCWCTGGAACGGCACCAAACAAAAGTTCCAGCATCATCACCTTGTCCAATGCAGATTCTTGACTCATCACTGAAGATAACTTTCATCCAGTCATCCACAGTCCATGATTGCCTCTCCTTAGCCCATTGCAGTCTTATTCTTTTTTGTTTAGGTGTCAATGATGGTTTTCTTTTAGCTTTCCTGTATTTAAATCCCATTTCCTTTAGGTGATTTCTTACGGTTTGGTCACATACATTGGCTTCAGCTTCCTCTGATTTATGCTTCATCTGTTTAGTTGTACTTTTTCGGTTTTCAAGATAAATGGCCATAAGTTGTTTGTCTTGAGGCTTTGATGCCTTTCTTGGTCTACCAGTACGCTTGGCTTTAACAACCATTCCATTCTGCTTGTATTTGGTCCATATCTTGGATACAGCTGACTGTGAACAGCCCACATCTTTAGCAACCATGCGTGAAGAGTTACCTTCTTCAAGAAGTTTCACAATCCTCTCTTTTGTTTCAAGAGACATTTCTCTTGTTGGCGCCATGGGTCTTGCCACTCCACTTCGTCCAGCAGCCCTCCAAGATGTCATGACTGCAGGTGTTTTCAACTRCAGACTAACGAGCARATCTAATCTGAGGCAGGTGTCTATTTAGGGAAAGGAAATTGACTGGGTGTGTCCTTATTTTGTACCTCCAATTTGAGTGATTCCATATTTTTTCCCTGTACTTGGTCAATAAAAGTAACATTCACTGACTTCCACAATGTTTTCTCTTCATTTCTTTGAGTGTTCCTGAAAGCCAACAAGTTGCACTTTGGAATGACCTTATTATTGTATCATGTTTTCGATCAGAGTTTGTTTTACAGAATTAAATGTCTGAGTGCTCATCCAAGACTGCTGATTCCATACTTTTTGCCAGGGGTTGTATTATATACAGTATGTGTTATTAATGATTAGATTTTTTTAATGCTTTTTAAGCTAAAAAAAAAAAAGATTGAACATTGATGAAGATTGATACATGAATAAATATGGTAGTTGTATTTTCCATGTTAATTTTAAAGTCTGASGTTGGGCAAATAATTTAGTCTGATTCTTTAAACAGTATGAAGACTTGTACCTCTGACACTACATACATGTGTCTGCAAAGTGGTCCAGTCAGTATTTAGCGTTATGCAGCAGTGTCAGTGTGGATGGAGACAAGTAGAAACCAGGTGGTGCTCTAACAGTGATGGTGTCTCTGTCTCAGGGTGGGAGAACGTCTATGGCTTCGACATGTCCTGCATCAAGGAGGTGGCCATCAAGGAGCCCCTGGTGGACGTGGTGGATCCTAAACAGCTGGTGTCAAACTCCTGTCTCATTAGGGTGGGTGGATGTCTGTCCTTTACCACAGCTTATCTGTTCCAACACAGTACCTGTATAATGAAGATGTGTGTGTCYGTGTGTGTTTAGGAGGTGGACATCTACACGGTGAAGGTGGAAGACCTGACCTTCACCTCTCCGTTCTGCCTTCAGGTGAAGAGGAACGACTACATCCACGCTCTGGTCACCTACTTCAACATCGAGTTCACTCGCTGCCACAAGAGGATCGGCTTCTCCACCAGTCAGTCCATGTTAACACACGTGTTCAGAATCACACACTAGTGCTTGTTATCCACTTCCTGTCACCCCAGAGTTAGCCTGGTTCAAACCAGACCCTGTCCTTCACTTTGCTTCGTACAAGGGTCTGGACTTGCTGCATAGAGAAGTGATTCTTGCAGGAGGCGTGGCCTCTGCTGAAGCATGAGTGTGTGTCGCTGTGACGGAGGCTAAGCTAAGAAGCTAACCGGAAATCACGTGTGCTGTAAACAACCCTACTGAGAGGAGAAAAGTACCGAGCTAAACGAGGCGACTGTAAATGAGAGCTGCTGCTTTGTCAGACAAATTTAATTTAATTTAGAAGCCTTATCAGAGACTGGCTTCATTCTCTTCCTCCACTGCCGTATGCTAAAATAACTAGCAGACACTGTGCAGTACATCGTCATTCAAAGCTCCTCCTTCTGTTCTCTGATTGGCTAAAAATCTTCCAGCGAAATCCTTGTCAATTGTAGAAGTCCCAGATGGAGCAGTGAAGGGAAACTAGAATTGAGCGGAGCTGCGTAGGAAGGCGAGGGCCAGGCTACCCCAGAGTTTGACTCAGATCATTGTTTAGTTGCTTTGTCAAACCTTGAATATAACCTCATTCATCATGTGATGTGGTATCCTGCTCTGCTCGGTGAGAAGAAACAGATGTTCATCAAAAATAAAATCAGTGTGTAGTAGTACACGTTATAAAACATTAATAACAGTTCTGTGTTAAATCTTCACCTCCTCTCTTGGTGACAGTGGGCAGAAATGACTGTTTTAACACCCAGAACCAGAGCTGAGGGTAATATAAATTGCTGCTCTGTCACCGCTCTTCTCTCCTGTGTAAATCTAGTTTTAAAGACAGCTGAAGTACATGAAACACACTTTCACCTGACCTGTGTTGTGGTGCATGAATGTTACACAACCTCAGTCAGAACTGTGGCTTCCCAGTTAAACAGAACAGTGTTTTGTGAACACTATTGATGGTACTGGGTCAGCATCTCATGTTACTAAAACTTTACTAAATACGGCCTGTTATGTGTTTATCYTTCAGATTAATAATTAAAACTCAGGACAGAATCAGGGCAGGGTTTAGAAACAAACCATTACAATAAAACTGCATTTATTGTTCACACCAGAGAATCAGAATTGAGCATGAATACCTGCAGTGTGAACTTAACCTAAATGTTGTCTTCCTCCCAGGTCCAGAGTCTCCCTACACCCACTGGAAGCAGACTGTCTTCTACCTGGATGATTATCTGACTGTAAAGACCGGAGAGGAGATCTTTGGCACCATCAGCATGAAGCCGAACGCCAAGAACAATGTAAGCAGACCGGCGCCGTGCACCCGACCTTTTCTCCTGTTCTGCATTCACTGTCTGACTTGTTGTGTTTGGACCTGCAGAGGGACCTGGACTTCGCTGTAGATGTGGACTTCAGGGGTCAGCTGTGCGAGATGTCAAAGACTCTGGAGTACAGGATGCGTTAGAAGCCCCGCCCCCTCCCCTCGGCCCTCCTTGTGTTAGTGTTCAGTAGGACAGGATCTGGTTTCCGTGGGAGTGTACAGTAGTGAACGTCTCCCTGCAGCAACATTTTAAAGTCACGTTTTCTTCTTCCGACATTAACAGTATTTAAAGTCTTTGAGTTGACTGGTGTCTGTGCTCCACCAGCTGTTAGCCTCCGTTGGGCTAAGTCTCCTTTACCTGAGCTACAGGTTCTAATCGTTTCCTCCTCCAGCCGTCAGCTCTGAGGAGAGTTACCGTCCAAACGCAGCAGCTGTGGAGGAAGCAGCCGGTGGTTTCAGAGCGCCGGCAGGAGCTGCATGAACTCAAACCACACGTCGTACTGCAACACATCCGGTTTTAGGGTTTATTAACAAAAATGTTTCCTCCATCTGCTGTGTAGTTTTACTGTTCAGATGGATTCAACATGTCTGAGTGACAAACCTTATTCATTACACTTTTATTATTTTCTACTGTTTTGGCTGCTTTGTTTTTTTACTAAGATTAATAAACATTTTGTTTCTCCCATCAGTTCATGTGTTCAGAGTCTTGTGTTCTACTGGAGATCATGGGTTTACACAGAACCATGAATGGTCCACTCTGACATAATTCATCGTTTCTCTCTTCAGGTCGTTCTGTAGGAAACGATCATGTTGGACCAGACCTTGGTCATGGTTTGGTTGAAAAAGGAATATTTTTTAGGTCTGGATCAGTTTAGACAAAAACTAGTTTGTAATTTAAACCTGTGCTGTGTAACATGAAATCAGACTAAACCTTTGAGATTTAATGACCAAATAATGCAAATAGTATTACTTTCTTCAAAGTCACAAGTTGAATTATTAAATAATTTGAGAGCACACAGGTGMTGTCATGGTTTTAGAAGCTTTTGATTGATTAATGTTTGAGTTAGAGATATCAGGTTAAGAATCAACCTCCACAACTTGGGTTTGTTTTCAGGCCTATTTCCAGATTCCTGAAAATACAAACTGTCCAGGAAGGAGACATGTTCTGTGTCCCTGGGACAAACTGCTTTACTGGGAATTGGAAACAAAAGCAAAGAGACATGAAGACGTCCTGTGGAATGATGACACTAATGTTGGAGCATAAAGACCATGGTTGCATTTGGAGGAAACTTCAGGCCTGAGAACATCCATCCTGAAGCACAGAGGCGACAGAATCATGACCACATGTACAGAAMTGTCCTCAGCCTTCTGTGTTCAGTGTGTTACACACCATGAACCCAATCAGCCCTGTGACTACCTGTCATTTAAACACATTTTATTGGTTTGGATTTACAGCAAACTTTTTATTAAACAAGAATCTACAAAAATATTGCTTACAAGCTTCATTAAAAAGGGGGAAAGCCCCCAAACAATAATGATTAAAACTCAAAATAAGTTTAATCTGTCCAATACTGTGTGTGTCTGTGTGTGTGTGTCAGGGGGTGGTCTCCCAGCATCTCTGCCTCCTGTGCAGGTCAAAGGTGGTGTAGGCAGGGCATAGCATTGGGGAAGGTTTCCAGGTGCCTGGCTCCTCCTCTTGTGGGAGGGGCTTCTGTCTGAACAGGTCAGAGGTCATGAAGAAGAGGAGGGAGGGGCCCTCTGCTGCTTTGCTCTCATGGCTGCGGGGTGGGGGCGGGGCCAGCGGCCGCCTGTCCTGCATCACCTGACTGATCAGCTGATCCTCCTGAACGCTGACGCTGACCAGAGAGTTGAAGAGCAGCTGAGAGCGAGAGACATTCACCACTGCAGGCACACAGAGAGGGAGAGAGAGAGATGAAGATGTAGTAGGAGCTGCTACAGCCAGAACACAGCTTTGTTTATACATATAAATAAAAGGGTTATTAAATAAAAGCTGAAGTGAAGTAGTTACTGTTACGTTTAGTTAAATGAAAAGTTTAAAACAAGTGTGTATTTGTTAGTCATCAGCTGCCCTGACTGGCATCAGAAACTCATTAAATGCTGCAGAAAATAAAACTTGTACTAAAACAATCAGATCCAGCTGTCTGAAAGCTATCCTGTAATCAGTTGGTGCTACACCTGTCAGTCATCTGATCAGCTGGTGCTACACCTGTCAGTCATCTGATCAGCTGGTGCTACACCTGTCAGTCATCTGATCAGCTGGTGCTACACTTTACCTTCTGCAGCTCTGGCATTTATCAGGTTTTTGGTCCTCTCTGACTTCTGAAGAGTCTCTTGAAGAGCTTTTTGTGAGTTAAACTCAGCCCCCTGAAGAAAAGATCAACAGGTAATCAAAGATGAGGAAAATCAATTGACCAGGAAAAAAAATACTAAACAGAGTTGAACAAGAGGTAAACGCCATGAGATTCACGTCTTGGAAGATGGATGGATGTGCATGTGTGAATAACCCTGTGTGTGTGTGAATAACCCTGTGTGTGTGTATCGTCCTGTGTGTGTGTGAATAACCCTGTGTGTGTGAATCGTCCTGTGTGTGTGTGAGAGTTGTCCTGTGTGTGTGTGTGAGTTGTCCTGTGTGTGTGTGTGAGTTGTCC